GGGGGGCTCGGTTGCGCCAGAGGTCCTCGAGCGATGCCAGTCGGGGGTCGCAGGGTTCACGACCTTCGCGGGGTTCCGCGAGCTCGTCAGCGACGAGCAGGTGGACAGCAACCTCGTCGACTACTTCAACCAGCCGTACTTCAGGGGTTGGGGCGCCAAGAAGGGGGGGCAGATCCTGGCTGGCCTCGTGTGCCCAGCGCCAGAGTTCCCCCGTTTTGGTGTCCGCCAGCTCCCCCGGGCTTGCCGCTGCCTGAAGGGCTGGATGCGGCGGGCGCTGGGCCGCTGCCGCCGCGGCTGGCTGCTGGCCTCGCGGGCGGGCATCGGGTGGTGCGGGGTTGCTTGCAGAGGGCGGCCCCCTCCCAGCTACCGGGCCGCGGCGAGACTGGGCTGAGCGACGTCTGCGTCGCGCCGGGCCCCGCGCGTCTCCAGTTCTTGGCGCCGATCGACAAGACATTAAGCGCAGGGCAGCAACGACGAGCTGGCGTGGAGCTTCACGCACCCCCATAGCAGAGTTTATGGAGTCGGTGGGCGAGCTCCACGTGACAGCGAACATGAGCCGTACCAGACGCGGCGCTCGGGCCCGTCGATCGACCTGGGTCTCCAGCGCCGCCCGATCGCGGGGGCTCAGCGGCGCGGCCAACTGGCGAGCGTGAAGAGCGTGCGCGCGGTTGGGCGAGAGCTGCGGGTTGCTGCCCCTGCCCGTGCGTCAGCGACTGGAGGCGTGCGAGGCATCGCTCGCGGACGTACTCCTGGGCAGCCCGCGCGGCGTCGCGCCCCCCCCCCCCTGGCCAGCCACTTCCAGGGCCGCCGCGTCCCCGACCTCTGTGCCGGCGCAGGCGGCGTCGCGCGGGCGGCGATCCAACGGGGTTGCAACGCCCGCGCGTGCGACGGCCAGCGTGGGCCACAGGAGGACTTGACGGACCGTCGGGCACTGGCTAAAGTGACTGCCTGCATTGCCCGCGAAGAGGTGCTCGGGGCGGTGCTGGGGCCGCCGTGCGATGCCTGGGGCGCGCCGCCGACAGTGGAAGGTGCGGGCCCATTCGTGCCGTCGATTGCCCGTGGGTGCTACCAGTGAGTCATCTCACGTCGCGTGAGGTGCAACGCTTGCTTCGAGGCAGTGTGATTTCCAGAGGCGCCCTCACGCTGCCGCGCTGCCTGTGTCGTTTCAGAGTTCCGACGATTCTAGAGCGTCCGATAAATGCGAGAAGTTTGCATGCGCCCGAGTTGAAACATCTGTGTCGGAAATGAGGCGGTCATACCCGAGTTTTTTATCAGTGCCAATGCGCCCGATCATGGCGCAAGCGCGCGAAGCTCATGTTTTTCAACATCGACATGCTCACTCGATTCAGAGAATTTCGATCGCAGGTGTCAAGGCAGCGAGGGCATTTGCAGTGTAACTGGCCGTCAGCCGTTGTCTTAGAGGGAGCGGCGCCTTCGGGCCGTAAGTGGACCGGACCGCTATTGCAGCATCCTGCCCGCCCTCCTTTTGTAAAGATATGGCGCGCGCTCTTCGATGTAACGCCCGAGACGCCCTTGCCTCAGACTGACCGCGTCTCTCGTTTTAAATGCCCTGTCCCGCCCGCCCTGGGAACCGTGTTCGGTCTTGGGAAGCCCTTTCTCTCGGGTTCGGGACTCTTGAGCTCGGGCCCCCCTCTTGGGCCCTCTTGGTAGCCCTACTGTGCGCAGATCGAGAGGCGCCCCGGTCGCCTCGACGCATGGCATCTTGTAGCAGATTCGTTCCCCACAAGTAAAAACGGAATCACCTGTGTGTGTGTGCTTGCGCGGGAAGGTGAAGGGCGTTAGCGCTGTTGATGTCTCCTGTTGCCATCATCTATGCTCGGGCCTCCTCGCCGTTCCCTCCCTGCCCTCTGTTTTGCCCCTGTCGGAGTCTTGAGCTCGGGCCTCACTTTAAGTCTTGGGCCCTCTAAGTAGCTCCTCTGTGCACAGATCGGGGGGCGCCCAGTCGCCTCGTATCAGATTCGTTCCCCACAAGTAAAACGGATTCGCATATATGGATACATATGTATGTATGTATGTGTGTATGTATGTATGTATACATGCATGCATGCATGCATGCATGCATGTATGTATGTATGTATATATGTATGTATGTATGTGTGTATGGGTGTATGTATGTATGTATGTATGTATGTATGTATATATGTATGTATGTATGTATGCATGTATGTATATGTATGTATATGTATATGTATATGTATATGTGCATATATATATATATATATATATATATATATATATGTGTATGTGTGTGTGTGTGCTAGTGCGCACCCGTGGATTACATCCACGGAGGTGCGCGGGTCGAACCATGGTGGCGCGCGCCACGTTGAGGCGTTAGTATTTACGGTTCGTGTGGGGGGCCCGTCTGAGAGCCGTGTGGAGCGTCTTGGGGGCCTTTTAAGGACTCTTTTGGGGATCTCCTGGGCTGCTTTGGGGGGTGTCTTTCGTCTGGGAGCCGTCTGGGACGTCTTTGAGGCCTCTGTGGTGGTCTTTGCTCTTGGGCTGTCTTGGCGGGCTTGGGTTGTCTTAGGGGCCTATGGGGGCCCTCTTGCGGGCGTCTTGGGGCGTCTTGAAAGCTTCGCTGACCGTCTCGAGGCAATCCTGGTTCATCTTGGGGCGCTCTCGGGCCGTCTTGGGGCCCTTTGGGGCCTGCCTGAAGCCGTCTTGGACGTATCTTTGGTCGTTTTCGGAGCCTCTTGGGCCGTCGTGGAAGCCTTCTAGGCGCTTTGGGGGCACTCTGGGGTCGCTGTGGGGTCCATTGGGGCCGTCTTGGGACTCTCTTGGGGGTCTCTTGGGCCGTCTTGGGGCGTTTTTGGAATTCTATTGTGCCGTTGTCAGCGCTGGTGACATCGAAAAACGAATATATGAGAAATGTACGTTTTACGAAGAGAATGGGGCGATCTTTGCCTCTTGCGGGTCCTCTTGCGGGCGGCTTGGGGCGTCTTGAGGGCCTCGCTGAACGTCTCGAGGCAATTTTGGTTCATCTTGGGGCGCTCTCGGGCCGTCTTGGGGCCTTTTTTGGGCCTCCCTGAGGCCGTCTTGGAGGTATCTTGGGCTATCTTCGGGGCCTCTTAGGCTGACTTGGGGACCTTCTGGACGCTGTCTGGGGACCTTCTGTATATGTATATATATACACACACAATACGCCGGGCCTCCTCCCGGGGCGTCCTCCACCTCGCTCACATCTCGTGTACGCTCCTGGTCCCGCGCTTCCCGGCCTCCCGGGGAACTCCCACAATGCCCAAAGACAACCTAAGACGAACCCCCAAAAATCCCACGACGTAATAAAGTTGCCCAAGACGCTCCCAAGCAACCCAGGATAGCTTTCGGGCGGTTCTCCAGGCTCCCAGGAGGCCTCCAAGAGACCTCAAGAGAGTTCCGAGAGGCCCGAGAGCGCCCGGAGAACCTAAAATCGTTAATTTTCATGTTTTTTTTCATGGCTTTTGAATGACTCTCTCACCATTTCATTCTTCTCACGCTCCAAGATGGCCGAAGAGGCCCCCAAGACCGCCCAGGCCCCCAAGACGGCCCCACGACGAGCCAAGACGGTCCCAAGCTTGCCGAAGAGGCGCCCAGGACAGCTCCAGACCACCCCAGAACAGACCCAAGATGAATCCAAGAGCGGGAGCAGGAGGCCGCCAGAGACCTCCGAGAGGACTCAGGGAACCCCCAGAAGCCTCCAACACACTAACACACACTCCAGACCCCTGAGAGACGTGGCCCCCAAAACACCCCAAGAGAGCTTCGAGAGCCGTCCCGAGGGAGCCCGAAGAGAGTAAGATCGTTGTTTTCCAGTGGTTTTAGCCGACGTTTTTCGCTTTCTCACGTTTTCCCGCTTCCAACGCTCCAAGACAGAGGAATATGAAAACACAAAATTTCAGAGATCCCTTTGAACAGAAACAAATCAACAAATGCGCGCCCCCTCCTCCTGGGGGTCCCACACCTTCGCGGAACATCTGCCGAACGCTCGCGGTACCGCGCTTCCCGACCTCCCGGGGAGCCCCCAAAACGCCCAAGGACAGCCCAAGACGACCCCAAGAAGCTCCCATAACGTCAAAGAAATGCCCCAGACGCTCCCAAGCAACCCAGGATAGTTTTCGGGCGGCTCTCCAGGCTCCCAGGAGGCCCCCAAAAGACCTCAAGAGTCAAGAGAGTTCCGAGAGGCCTCCGAAGAGCGCCCGGAGAACCTAAAATCGTGAATGGTCATTATTTTTGTTCCATGGTTATTGGCTTTCTCACCATCTCATTCTTCTCAGGCTCCAAGACGGCCGAAGAGGCCCCCAAGACCGCCCCGAGACCGCCCAAGAGGCCCCCAAGACGGCCCCACGACGAGCCAAGACGGTCCCAAGCTTGCCGAAGAGGCGCCCAGGACAGCTCCAGACCACCCCAGAACAGGCCCAAGATGAGTCCAAGAGCGGGAGCAGGAGGCCGCCAGAGACCTCCGAGAGGACTCCGGGACCCCCCAGAGGCCTCGAACACACCCCAGACCCCTGAGAGACCCCCAAGCAATCCCTGACGAAGCTCCCCAAACAAGCCAGGAGAGCTTCGAGAGCCGTCCCGAGAGAGCCCGAAGAGGGTAAAATCGTTGTTTTCCAATGGTTTTAGTAGACGTTTTTCGCCTTCTCAGGTTTTCCCGCTTCCAACGCTCCAAGACCGAGGAATTCGGGGAAACAACTGGAATTCCAGAGATTCCTTTTTTGTTTCAAGTTGGGACTCCTACTCCCTATCCTCTTCCTCGAGCCCCATCAAGACTTCGGGGTCACATGCACAAGTGTTTCGGGAATGCTGTTGAACTCTCCGACGCTGTCTTGGCACTCTCTTGGATCGTCTTCGTGTCCTCTTGGCTGCCCCTGAAACCACCGTAATTAGAAATCGAGATCCCATGATCCCATGAGTTGAAACATTAAATTCTTTTCTATTTCGAACTCACCACCTGTTCATCCGTAAGGGCTTCGCCCCCTGCCGCCGGCCCCCTCTCTCGGAGAATGGGCCATGGAAGAGCTAAGTCATGAGGCCTTGGCGCTGTCGTGAAGCAGTATCGAAACTTCATGCGAAGCCGATTCGCAATCAGCAAAACCAACTGATCACAAGAGGGGTTACCACACCTGGCGATTGGTAAGACGTGTATGGTTTACGGGCTTGGTTACCACACCTTGCGATTAAAGGGCCGAGGGAGTTCTCGCAGTTTGGGTTACCACGCCTTGCGATGGATGTGCGTGAAGGGTGGCACCGAATTTCAGAAATGTGGCAAATCCCCTGTGTTTTTGGACCCTGACCCCGCGGATCTGCGTGAGGGGTGGCACCGAATTTCAGAAATGTGGCAAATCCCTTGTGTTTTTGGACCCTGACCCCGCGGATCTGCGTGAGGGGTGGCACCGAATTTCAGAAATGTGGCAAATCCCCTGTGTTTTTGGACCCTGACCCCGCGGATCTGCGTGAGGGGTGGCACCGAATTTCAGAAATGTGGCAAATCCCTTGTGTTTTTGGACCCTGACCCCGCGGATCTGCGTGAGGGGTGGCACCGAATTTCAGAAATGTGGCAAATCCCTTGTGTTTTTGGACCCTGACCCCGCGGATCTGCGTGAGGGGTGGCACCGAATTTCAGAAATGTGGCAAATCCCTTGTGTTTTTGGACCCTGACCCCGCGGATCTGCGTGAGGGGTGGCACCGAATTTCAGAAATGTGGCAAATCCCCTGTGTTTTTGGACCCTGACCCCGCGGATCTGCGTGAGGGGTGGCACCGAATTTCAGAAATGTGGCAAATCCCTGTGTTTTTGGACCCTGACCCCGCGGATCTGCGTAAGGGGTGGCACCGAATTTCAGAAATGTGGCAAATCCCTGTGTTTTTGGACCCTGACCCCGCGGATCTGCGTGAGGGGTGTCGATTTCGAGCCCCCCCAGCAATTCAGACAACGCGCCCAGGGGACGCTAAAAAGCCACTTTGGGCCTCCCCCCCCCTCGCGCGGTCAATCAACTAGTTACAGTAACCAGCAATAAGTCAACTAGTTAC